TTTAATTAAAAATCAGTTTTATTTACTATTTAGTAATTATAGTTTGATATAGAAATTTCCATTTTGAACAGATAAAGATCATAAGATGAAAAACATTTTAACATCAATGTATTACTTGGCACGTAATATCTGAATTAATTTGATAAAGGTAACTTGTACTTGTTAGAAATTAATCAATTGTCTTTTTTTAATTTAAGTTAGTTTGTTTATTTTTCATTTCAATGAACATCTACAGAGATTTTGGAATTCCATTCATTCATTGTTGCACCCTTCTCCCTGCACAAACCCCTCTCCCCCCTTTGCTCCTCTCCTTGAAAAGCAAAAGAAAAACTCCCTCATTGGCAAACAATCCCCCCCCCGCACCTCCCCAAACTCCACCCCCACCACCAAATATAATCCACTCTGCAACCCTCATAACACCGCTATTTTTCCTCAGTTTTTCCTGCTCAGCATAGTATATCATGTGATTGTCTGATTCAAAGGGGCCCACGCTTGCCCATCTCAGTTCACTTGTGACTAGAATGTCATGTGTTCCATTTAATTTTTGACAACATCCATTTTTCCTACATTCATACTTTGTACACACCATGTTGCAATGATTAATGACTGTAGCCATTTCTACTTATTTCTAGTGACTTTCTATCTGGGATCTATACTATAACTACTCACATTTTCCTGTTCATAGGGTTTTTGAAGGCCCATTCTTTTGGGAGTGGATGGCCAATCCTTATCCCTAGTTTATTTTGCACAGTCAATGACCTATTCATTGCAAATACATTTTATAAGAAACATAAACGCAGGTTATACACATGGATTTCACCTGATGGTATGCATAGGAATCAGATCGATTATATCTGCAGAAAAAAATGCTGGAGAAACTCCATATTGGCTGTGAAAACAAGGCCAGGTACTGATTGTGGAACAGACCACCAGCTACTCATATGCAAGTTCAAGCTGAAGTTGAGGAAAATTAAACCGAATCCACTGGAACCAAAATACGACTTTGAGTTCATCCCACCCAAATTTCAGAACCATATCAGGAACAGTTTTGAAGCCTTGAACACTAAAGAGCGAAGACCTAATGAAATATGGGAGGATTTCAAATGTATCATCCAGGAAGAGTGCAGATGGTCATTACAAAGACAGAAGAGGAAGAAAAGACCAACATGGATGTCAGAAGAAACAATGAAGATTATACTGGAGTGCAGAGAAGCCAAAGCACAAGGAAGAATTCAAGATACTAAAGAGCTGAAAAGAAGATTCCAAAGGACAACATGAGATGACAAAGAAAATATTACAATGAAATGTGCAAGGAGCTGGAGTCGGAAAATCAAAAGGGCCGAACTAGCTCAGCATTTCTTAAGCTCAAGGAACTGAAGAATAAATTTAAACCTCGAGTTACTATAATTAAGGATGCTTTAGGCAGAATATTAAATGATCCAGAAACTATTAAAAGAAGATGGAAAGAATATACTGAGTCACTGTATCAAAAGGAACTGGCAGACACAGAAGAATTTAATGAAATCACATATGAGCAAAAACCTATGGTGACCAAGAAGTTCAAGATGCTTTGAAGGAAATAGCAAAAAATAAGGCCCCAGGAATAGATGGTATACCAATTGACATATTTGAGCTAACAGATGCTGCCCTGCATGTGCTCACCAAGTTGTGCCAAGAAATCTGGAGAACAACCACTTGGCCAACTGACTGGAAGAGATCTATATTTGTTCCCATCCCAAAGAAGGGTGACCACACAGAGTGTGGAAACTACAGAACAATATCATTGATTTCACTTGCAAGCAAGATTCTACTGAAGATTATCCAAAAACAACTGGAACAGCACATCAGCAGAGAACTGCCAGATGTCCAGGCTGGGTTTAGAATGGGTCGTGGTGCTAGTGATATTGTAACTGATGTTAGATAGATCTTAGCTGAAAATAGTGAATACCAAAAGAATGTCTATCTGTGTTTCATTGACTATGCAAAGGTGTTTGACTGTGTGGATCATAACAAACTGTGGCTGACTCTGAGAAAATGGGAATCCCAGAACACTTGATCGTTCTAATGTGAAACCTATACTTGGACTAAGAGGCAGTCATCAGAACAGAGCATGGAAACACAGCATGGATCAAAATTGGGAAAGGTATAAGCCAGGGATGTGTCCTATCTCCATACCTTTTCAACCTGTATGCAGAACAGATTATCTGAGAGGCTGGGCTCTATGAGGAGAAGTGTGGCATCAGGATTGGTGGAAGATCTATTAACAACCTGTGTTATGCAGATGACATAACCCTGCTTGCTGAAACTGAGGAGGACCTGAAATGCTTGCTGCAGAGGGTCAAGGACTGCAGGCTTCAGTATGGATTGAAGCTCAAAGTCAAGAAGACAAAGATTCTCACCACTGGACCAATTGGCAGCATCAGGATGGATGGTGAAGAGATTGAGATTGTTAACAACTTTAGTCTGCTTGGCTCCATGGTCAATACTCTTGGCACCAGTAGCCAGGAAATAAAAAAAAACGTATTGCAATGGGAAAGTCTGCTGTTAGGGACCTCTCCAGGGTATTGAAGAGCAATGGTGTCACTCTGGAAACTAAGGTGCGTCTGATACAGGCTATGGTCTTTGCAATCACTTGTTACGCATCAGAGAATTGGACAATGACTAGGGAGAATAGATGGAGAATTGATGCCTTTGAGCTGTGGTGCTAGAGAAGAGTATTGAATGTACAATGTGGACTGACAAGAAAACAAACAGATTCATCCTAGAGAGGGTTAAACCAGGCTTCTCCTTGGAGGCAAGGATTCTGAGGCTTCGTCTGACATACTTTGGACATATTATAAGGAGGGAGAGGTCCTTGGAGAGGGACATCATGCTGGGTAGAGTAGAGGGACAGCGCAGGAGGGGAAGATCCTCTATAAGGTGGATTGATTCAGTGACTGCGGTAATCGGGATGGGTGTGCCAGAGGCAGTGTGATTGGCAGAGGATAGAGCAGGGTTTAGGGCTGTTGTACATAGGGTTGCTATGAGTCGCAAGCAACTTGATGGCACATAATAAAAACCACAACATTTTAATCTAGGAGCTCTGTTGCAACCTCTCCACCATGTGTAACCTCTTTGGTACCTGAGACACTGGTGGCACAGATTCTAGCATCAGAGTATCACACAAGCTATAGCCATACAGCAGACTAACAGACAAGTGCTGTACCGGTAGGAGCAAATAATAACACCCAAATGTATACACATCTAAGATTAAATAATTGGCCACATGCAAATCATTTCCCAGTAATCAAACTGACAGATAGATATTAAGCAAACTGTAAAGACAACCAGGCATACAAATATCATGGTATCCTTTTCAGGCCACAGCTTAGGCCCATAGTAGCATGGCAGGATGGGCTCTTAGACAGACATTAGCATAGATTGATATTTAGTGTTGATGCTTAAGACAGGCCATTGGTTCACTAAGTCTTCAGACTTAAGGCAAGGGACCTGGGGAGGGGGTTTTGCCTGGCTCTGGGTTGCCCAAAAACTTCCGCTCCACTGCTCAGGACCTGATGCAGGGTCCTGCTGGCCCTGCTAATTCCTGAAGACCTCTGCCCAGGGCCTCTAGATCCAGGCATCTAGGCAGAGCGTGGCTTGACTCCCTATCGGCCACATTAAATGGCATGGTGCAAATTTGTATATATTTTTTTTAATCAATTGTGAAAGTTTAGGAGACAGAGCTGTTCTGCTTACTGTTTTTGTTGTGATATGCTGCCAAGTTAGCTAAGGCCCATAGTGACCCTATGAACAACAGATCTGAATCCTGCCCTATCCTGTGCCAGCCTCATCCGCCCTGAAATACTGAAGCCCATGGATGCAGTCACTGTGTCAGGACATCTTGTTGAAGTTTCATCCTCTCGTCACTCCATCCTCCATGTCAATCATCCTCTTTTTCACTGACACCCCACCCTTCCAATAATAATGTCCTTTCTTAAAAGCTTGTCCCTTGTGACATGTTCAAAGTATGTGAGAATGTCATCATTCTTGCCTCCATAGAGCACCCTGATTGTCCTTTTCCAAGACATATTTGTTATTCTTTCGGCTGTCAATGAGATGTTCAGTACTCTTCTCCAACACCACAACTCAAAGGCATCAATCATTCTTCTGTCATCTTTAGTCATTCATTGTTCAACTTTTGGATATATAGGAAGAAATTGACAATGCCTTGGCTTGGATCAGGCACACTTTAGTCGTTAAGCTGACACCATTGTTATTGTTGTTGTTGGGTTCTATTGAGTCAGAATTGACCCGTAGCTGACTCTCCAGAGGGTTTTTAGAGGCAGTAAATCAAGTGGGAGGAGATTACCCACACTTCTGCCAAGCGACTGGTGGACTCAAACCTTATGGTCCTCTTACCACGAGGACCCCCAGAGCTCCTTTAAATTGATTCAGACTGATTGGGACCGCTCTTAGACAAAGTAGAACTGCTTCACGAAGTTTTCAAGGCTGATTAGATTGACAGACTGATCTTCTGAGATGCCTTGACTTAGTTTGAAACTCAGATCCTAGTTGTGAATAGTCCAGAACTTAGCCATTTGCACCACTCAGAGCCTGCTCTGGTTTCTAAGGCAGACCCAGGGCCTCAGGGGCGTGAGCAAAATTACAAAGGAGACGTGCGTGGTCCAGGGCCCCTGGTTCCAGATAACCAATGTCATCTGAACAGATACTGTCTCCTCTGGGGCTGCTTCCGAAGATGGAGGCCCGTGGCAGGGCCAGGACTGCAGAAAACTGTTTCACAGGGAGGCGTGCTCCCTGAATCACAGCTTGAAGAACAACTGCTCTTTTGCAATCCTTGCTGGTCTGACAGGCTCCTACAGAATTACATCACTTCCTAAAAAACAGGCAAACACCTCTCCTTCAAGTTAGCACGGACCCAAACAAGCAAGAAACAGGAAATGTTCACGTTTCAGGGAGGCTGAAGCCCGCGCAGCATCCTGACCGCGCCGGGTCGAGCTGACATGACGGCTGTGCGTGCGGCGCTCGCCTTTGCTCTGACCCTCTCGCTGGTCCACGCCAACCAGGGTAAGCCAGCCCCGACTCCTGGGAAGGAGGAGAGCGAAGGCATGCTTGGTGCCCGAGGCTGCAGAACTCTGTTGGAAGGGAAACACCCAGAAAATCTAATCCTTTCCATGAAAGATGTAAGCAGAAGAGAACTTTAAAGGACTAGAGGGGGGAGTGGGAGAAGGGGAGCTTCGCTTTCCCTGCAGCTACAACTCTGACTTTATTTAACCCTCCTACAACTTTTGTCTTCTTAAATATGTAGATCCCAGTAATTCACCAGCTTTAATGGGCATATTAAGAAAACCATAAACTCTTTGGCAGACCATGTAAAAGGACATTTCAATCAGCTGAAGCAGAGAAGTAATGAATTTGATTTTAATGATGTGGGCTGTGAAGTCAGCTGGTTCCAAAAAAACTCCCGGGAAAAGCCGGGACACGGAAATTTACTGCTGGAAAATACACTCAAGAAAAGTCCCAAGTGTTGTTTTGTTTTGTTTAAAAAAGTAAACAGGAAGTTATTCGGGGAGTTAGCAGGCACCCATTCTAATGCATATTTGGGTCTTTCTTCTGCTTTAGTTTGATCTTGTTACTTTGGGAGAGCGTGGGGGGGTATGCTCTTTGCGTGGATTGTTATTAATGAAAGTTTGTTTGGAAAGGTAATGTGATTATAGCAGTTAAAAGGCACTGGAAAAGACACATAGTAAATCTCATTGTTTGGACCTAAGAGCAGCAATTGATTTCTGTGTTTGACAGTTACTATGACAAGCATAGTCACCCTCAATTGCCTCTTCGGAGTCTGTTGACTTTTCTGTGGGTAAATAGCTTCACTGTCCTGGTTTTTGTCAGTGGGCACTACCACCTGCTTTTCATGTAGGGCAGGATTTCAAACAAGAGGAAAATTCTGAGGTGTTTAACAGGGTGGGGGCCTGAGATGTGGCAACTTCCTGGAGATCAGCAGTCAGCCCTCAAACTCACTCACCCCCCTTCACCCATTTCCCTTTCCTTGGGTACTCTCCCCAAGATCTCCCTGAGCACCTGAGTTAGCAAAAAGAGACAAAGTGAAACTCAAAACAGTCTAACTGGAAAGAGGTTGAAATTGAGGTTAGGGTTTGATATTATTTAACAGTCAATGTATTTTTATGCACCAACTGGAGGCAGCAGAAAGATGGTCCTTTTCAAGTCTTACCACAGGGTACAGGTGAACAAACTGAGGCACAAGAGGGAGAGAGGCGTGAGTCCCACTATTACTCAGTTCTTCTGACTTCTCCAGGATTCTGTTCATTCCTTAAGAGAGAACTAGCCATTCTCTTGCTATGTCCTCTGGGACCAGTCTTGCCCCTGCTTGGAGGGCCCCCCTCCAAGGGAAAGCCTAGCACTTCCTCTTACACTCCTTTTAGCCTTCTGGAAATATGACTACAAACATTGAAGTCTACGGGGAACAGAATAGTTTAAAAGTATTATAGTTTAGAGCATTATGTTTATCGT